ATGGCAAAGTCCCTCTCTATTAACTCAGATTCTGAATCCTCTGGGGACTACCCTGCTTCACCACCTCCAGCACTTGATGAAAATCAGGCCTCCATGAAGCTTGTCATTGTCAATGTGGCAGCGGGATGTGACGTCCTCAAGTCCATTCTTGATATTGGTCGTCGAGGCCACACCAGCCTCGCCGTCCAAAGCGCCTCTGGTACCATTGCCAGTGTCACCCTCCGTCACATCCCCCACAGTGTCCCTGCCCTTAGGGTTTATGGCCCATTCAACTTACTTTCCCTTACTGGTTCCTACTTTTACAACAACCAACACACCCTTCACCCAGGAGCCACCCCTCCCCCTTCCTTTTCCTTTGGGATCCACCTCTCCACCTCTGATGGCCATGTCTTCGGTGGTAACATAGATGGTCCAGTCATCGCAAGTAAGAATGTTAGCTTGACCATCTTCACCTTCAAGAACCCTGGAATTGACAAATACGTTCCTGAAGGCGAAGAAAACGATGATCAGAACGATAATAACAAAAACAATAAGAATTGTAATAATAGCAGAGGGGATTTGTCGATGTTGAACTCTGCTAGTTGAAGAAGACATGGGTGGTGAATGATGTGAAAGTGACGGCATTGAATGTAGGACGTAACAAATACATGAAGGCAATTGAGATCTCTTTGAATGTGTTGCATTTTTGTTTTTATTGTTCTAGTTTATTTTATTTATGGGTACTTCTTGAAGTGTGCTAGGAAACTGTTATTGAGATTATGTTTTTCGTTTTATCAACATGTTTGTTTCAATTTCTTTAATTTTAAATGAATTTCTTCTATCATCTTTTGATAGTCAATTTAATTTTGTTAATGTGATTGTATCTTTCAGAAAATTATTAATTTTAGAAAATTGAAGATATTCTATTAAAGTTCACCATAGTTTTTAGATATGTAGCAGGCATTTGTTGATACAAAATGTTAGCCTACGCCACCGGAGAAAGGACACAAAGGAGAAAACGATAATAAGTATATAAAAAAGTTAAACGTATATTTCTTTACATCTACACTCATACAATATTTTTTTAATTGAAATATTATATTATCAAACAAATATGCATCATAATTCACGTATATCAATAATTTTGAGCGACCACCAAATATTCATTATTATAATTTTTTATTCTACAATCAAATATTTATTTGATATTTAATATTTTAATTAAAAATGGGTGTGGCAAGTATAGATAGAAATGAGCTGTATGTTTCACTTTTTCCAAAGGTTTTAGAATAAAAATTTGATAACAGTGTAAATGTTACCGAAAATTACGGTATATGCTACTCATGTTGCGTGACTAAGGAAAAGATAAATAAATAAAATAAAATATATTAATGAATACATATTATTAAATGTTGATATTATTAAGGTGTATGAATAATAAAATGGAGGGTGTGAGTTTTTTTTTTTTTTTTTTTTATAAAAGATATTTGATTTTAGAATAAAAATTTGATAAATGAATGTCATTTGAGTGTTACCGAAAATTATGGGTGTATATAAATCATTGTATAACAAAAGAAAAGTTAAATAAAAAATAAAACATATTAATGAATATATATTATTACGTGTTCGATATTATAAAGGTGTATGAATAATGAAATGGAGGTGTGAGTTTTTTTTTAAAAGATATTTTGATTTGAGCATAAAAAATTGATAACAATAAATGTCATTTGGGTTTTACGGAAAATTATGAGTATATATGAATCATACTGCACAAGGAAAGAAAAGCTAAATAAAAGAATAAAAATATATTAATTAATATATATTATTAAGTGTTGAATTATTAAGGTATATGAATAATGAAATGAAGGGTGTGAGTTTTTTTTTTCTAAAAAATATTTTATTTTAGAATAAAAAATTGATAACAATAAATGTTGTTTGCTTATTACCGAAAGTTATGGGATGTATGAATCATGTTACGTAACTAAAGGAAAAGCTAAATAAAAAAATTAAATGAATACATATTATTAAGTATTGATATTATTAAGGTGTATGAATAATGAAATGGAGGTGAGTTTTTTTTTCTAAAAGATATTTAATTTCAGAATAAAAAATTGATAACAATGAATATCATTTAGGTGTTACCTAAAATCATGGGTATATATGAATCATGGAACTAACGAAATGGAAGGAAAGACTAGATAAAGAAATAAAATATATTAATGAATATTTATTATTAACGAGTGTTGATATTATTAAAGTGAATGAATAATTATTGAGTGAAAATTATACTCGTAATTAAATCTTTTACACATTATAAATAATAATAAAGATATTATTTTTTATATAATTTTATCAAACTAGACTTTTATTTAAAATAAATATTGTTTTCCACATTGATCTCTTAAAATTTTTGAAGATGTCATAAGGATTATATATACATATATAATCCTAGTTTTTTTTTTATTTCACTTTTCTTTATCTCTTGAATGTAATGACACTTGTATGTTATGAAAGATGATGAAGATAAGAAAAAAGAGAAATAAGATTGTATTATTGAATTGGAGGAAAAATGAATACATAAAAGAGGTAGAAGGAAATATCTTTGTATACAGATAAAGGGTTGTCGCAATCAGAATCGCGACTGAACGATAAAATTAAGTTTTTAAATGAAAAAAAAAACAATAGAATCGCCACCAATTTTATTTTAAGGAAAAATATCAAAAATAATCTTCAAAAAGGAAAATGGTCTACGAAATAAAGGTTATGTTTGAGAATGATTATGTGTAAGGAAGATATTAACACCTTACAACATCCATTCTAAAAACGGTTATCTTTAATTATATGTAAAAAATTTAAATATCTTAAAATGATCTATTTTATCCCTCGAATTTATATATTGATTAGATATTGCTACTAAATAAAAGATTATATATTTTTTTTATTTTTAGCTCGACGAGAGATCATCTCCGTGCTCCTACGTATCCCCGGTGCAATGGAGAATTAGAATATTCTTTCTTATAAAAAATGTTTTGTGAGTAATTTATTTATTTATTAGTGTGGATAAATTAAAAGTATACTTAAGATAATTATAAAATAAACAAATTAGAAGTGCATCTAAAGTGATTATTGATTTTTTTATAATTTAAATAATAATTAAATTGGAAGTACATCCAAAGTAATTATTAATAATAAAATATTTTTAATTATTAAATTTATCATCTCTCTACATGGATTTAAGATACTTTAAAAATAAGTATTTATTATAATCAAATCAAAAGTATATTTGAAGTGATTATTATAAATTTATGATAATCAAATTGAAAGTACATCCAAAGTGATTAATTAATTTTTTATATAATTTTATGTAATAATTAGTTTAAAATGTGTTCTAAACTTTTACTACCATGAAATTCATTGTAATAAAAATTTAACATTTTTTTAAAATAATTTTTATAATGATCAAATTAAAATACATCGAAATAACCATAAAATTTTAATCTTACAATAATTAAATCAAAATTTTAATTATATTTGGATAAATAACTTTGTAAATTTATTAGTTCTAAGTACAAAAAGAGGTTGTAACACAAAAAAGTTAACAATTGTGACTAATGTAAAATATTATTCATCTACTTATTTGTTGATTTTAAATAAAGGAAAAAGGAAATAATAATAATAATAACAATAATAATAATAGTAATAATAAAAATAAGATAATAATAATAATAATAATAATAATAATAATAATAATAAGATAATAATAATAATAATTTTTGTTTTTGTAATTTATTTTATTATGTTGTTCAGTTTAAATTAGAAAAGAAAATAAATGTTAAGTCCAATTACTCATAAAAAATTTTCAGATTGCTATTTGAAACTTTTATGTTATTTTCACCCCCTTTTTATTTGGCCCACGCATTTTTGTCTTTGAGCCCACCTTCCGTCTCTCGACCCATTTCTTCTTAACCTAATCCTAAACCTAATGGAAGCGTTGGAGATGGGAGCCGCAGGAGATTAGAGTTGCAGAGGGGCTAGGGCTGTCGGGTGAGGCGCGATAGAGAATCACACACAGCTAGGGTTCAAGTGAGGGAGATGGGGGTGTTACGGTGGTTTCTAGTGGGGGGAGGCAATTTAGCGGTAGAGATTTAGTGGTACTGGTGGAGGCACGAGGTCGGGAAGGTGTGTCGCACGGATGCGACTACCACATGGTGGCTAGGGTTAGCGGTGGAGATTTAGGGGTATTGTTGGAGGCACAGGGCCAGGAAGGTGTGTAATATCCTAAATTTTGCAATCAATTATATAAATAAATTTTGTAAGTTATAAATATGTACCGAATATTATGTAGAGTTATTATAAAAATAAAACATGATTTTTATAGTAATTTTGTCTTAAGAAAATTATAAAATAAAATCCAAGGTTAATATTGTGTCAAATAATAATTTAATAATAATTCTTAATAATAAAATTAAATAAATGAATAAATAAATATTAAAATTAAAAAAAATCACGAAAAGAGAGAAATGGTATTCAGGGACAGTAGTTTTAGATCAAGTCAATAAAACCTTTGAATTAAGTCGGTGAAATAAGGCGGTGGAGAATAAAATTAAAGAAAATTCGAGAAGGACTATAAGTCGGTAAGATAAGTGTATAAATAGGAATAAATTTGAAAACTTACTTACACAAAAACATACAATTCCCGTCACTTACAAATCCAACAGAGAGGCACCAGAATTCTGAGAAGAAGAATTCGAGAGAAAGGAGGAAAGGGGAGCATAAGAAATTAAGAGAATAATAAGATTTTGAATGAACCAGGTATGGGTTAGACGTTTAGTTTTATTCATACGAATGTCTGTAATTGGAGATTACTATTCATCAATTGCAAAGTTTGAAATATTGTTGAAATTCTTTCAATTAAGGATGAATTATATAATAAAATTGTTGTTTTTAACTTAAATTGAACATGTTTATGGTTTAATTTTGATTTGGAACTAATTTGATTGATTGAAATTGAGAAATTTGAAACCTGGATTTCGAAAATGGCAAACTGGATGAAAATCTGCAAAATTCGCTCAAGCGAAAAATATATCGCTTGAGCGAGGACACTTGGAAAATTTGGGATTCTCGGGTTCTTTATCGCTCAAGCGAAAATTTCATCGCTTGAGCGACTAAGGGTCATGTCTCGCTCAAGCGACCTGTGTACTCGCTTGAGCGACGAAAGCTTCAAACAAAGGGGACTCTCGGGTCATGCCTCGCTCAAGCGACCGATGTACTCGCTTGAGCGACGAAGCCTTCAAACAAAGGGGACTCTCGGGTTCCATCTCACTCAAGCGACCGGTGTACTCGCTTGAGCGAGCGAAGGAAGAAGAAAGGACTAGGTGGGAATTTTTGCAAAAGATCAAGGGTAAAATAGTCATTTCACATATTAGGGACATAAATGAAATTTTGAAAAAAAGGTTAAGGGTATAATCGAGATAAAGTCAAACAGTATATTACCCCCTCTTTATTTACTAGGAAAACGACTCAATAAACGTTAGAATTTGAGGATAGTGCCTTCATCAAAGTTATAGATTATTATCTTATCTTTCCCAACACAATTGGAATCATCT